TTCCTGTCAACGTCTGCGGTTGGTGAGAATCTCGGTTTGTGAGAATACACACTAGATTGTATCTGGTGGTTTCCATTCAGATCTCAAGTACAGTGATAGCCATCTGGAGCCAGTAATCACAAAGTAAACAAACTTTTAAACAATCGGGTAAACTATTCAGCATTTAACACTGTTAGTAGAATTCCCCTAAAATGCCCGGTGAAATATATTATATACAGTGGGGCAAAAAAGTATTTAGTCAGCCACCAATTGTGCAAGTTCTCCCACTTAAAAAGATGAGAGAGGCCTGTAATTTTCATCATAGGTATACCTCAACTATGAGAGACAAAATGAGAAAAAAAAACCAGAAAATCACATTGTAGGATTTTTAAAGAATTTATTTGCAAATTATGGTGGAAAACAAGTATTTGGTCAATAACAAAATTTCATCTCAATACTTTGTTATATACACTTTGTTGGCAATGACAGAGGTCAATTGGTGGCTGACTAAATACTTTTTTTCCCCACTGTACATGTATATCTAACTCCAGCTGTTTTAAGTAACATCCAGTGCTTTGAATTAAAATCATCATGCATCTCATGATGTCATTTACGAATGATTATTTGAACAGTGAACTAGGGGTGTGCGATATATATCGTCTGCGATAATATCGTAATTGTTGTTTTAACGATGTGCGATTTCACATTATCGAGTATTTTGCAAAAAACTTTCAAAGCACCCCTACAGAGTGCATGCATACATTACGTGAAGTCTAGACTAGAGTGCTGATGATCCAGTCTATCACAATACATTTAGAATGATCACAAATTCAAAACATGGGGGCAGAAAATGTATATATTTATACCACTTCAAATAGCCAAGTTAATCACACGAAGAGTGCCGTTTTTTTCTCCAAAAATTACAATGATTACAAATGTGATATTGATTTTTTACAACAGTTCAATAAACAAGAAGTTAATTAAGAGACTTGTGCTTTAGACACCGTATTTCCTGTTTTTGCGCTATTTCGACAACAAAAAATAACTCCAAACAAAACCACAGCGCTGTTTTGCGTCTCTGAGCAACATGACGCGGTTTTGTTCCTGAATGAATCAATCGTTTAAATGATTCGGTTCAATCGCATTGACTCACTTATTAACAGTGACTTGCTGCCACCTACTGGCGGTTTTAATTTCACATTCAGAGTATCTTTTATTATTTAAATAATTTCAAATATCAGTATTCAATAGATAATGGACACTTTTAGGAGAGAAAAAAAATGGCTATTTAAAAGTCAAAATGCCCATAAAATGTAAAAATCAGTTCAAACTTATTGGAAAAGATTTATTTCTATCAGTGTGAACTGACCACTGCACAGAATATGAAGAATATCAAGTCAGCTGTCCACGGCAGTCCTTAAGATACCAGCACAATAACACACTCAGCAAAATATCGTCTAATTATCGTTATCGATAAAATCCCAGAAAATATCGAGATATTATTTTATGTTAATATCGCACACCCCTAACAGTGAACATGTTGGGGCAAGTGACAGACTGGTATGTCGGCCAGGCCAATTCATTGACCATTTAGAGATTATCACCAGATTCACCATGCTCAATTCAAAGTATTATTGTAAATATTGTGTTAAATAAATACCCATTCAATTTCAGCAATTCTACCATTAAAAGTATAGTTCAAAAGTTTGGGGTAAGTACTTTTTTTAAACTAATACTTTTATTCAGCAAAGATGAATTAAATGAATCAAAAGTGACAGTAAAGTTATTTATAATGTCACAGCATATTTCTAATTTTCAAAAAACTGCTGTCCTTTTGAACTTTTCATTCATCAAAGAATCCTGAATGCCAGTTTCCGACACAATAATCAGCAGCACAACTGTTTTCAATATTGATAATAATAAGACATGTTTCTTGAGCAGCCAATCATCATATGTGACCATGGACCACAAAACCAGTCTTAAGTCGCTGGGGTATATTTTTTAGCAATTTTAATTCAAAATTAATGATTTTTCATTTATGCCAAACATCATTAGGATATTAAGTAAAGATCATGTTCCATGAAGATATTTTGTAAATTTCCTGCTGTAAATATATCAAACCTTAATTTTTGATTAGTAATATGCATTGCTAAGAACTTCATTTGGTCAACTTTAAAGGCGATTTTCTCAATATTTAGATTTTTTTTTAACCCTCAGATTCCAGATTTTCAAATAGTTGTATCTTGGCCAAATATTGTCCTATCCTAACAAACCATACAATCAATGGAATGCTTATTTATTCAGTTTTCAGATGATGCATAAATCTCAATTTCTAAAAATTGACCCTTATGACTGGTTTTGTGGTCCAGGGTCACATATTAGAATGATTTCTGAAGGATCATGTGACACTGAAGACTGGACTTATAATGCTGAAAATCCATCATTGACATAACATGAATAAATTACATTTAAAAATATATTAAGACAGAAACAGTTAAACAGTAAATTGTACAAATACTTCACAGTATTACTGTTTTTACTGTATTTTTGATCAAATAGACGCACCCTTGGTGAGCATAAGAGACTACTTTTAAAAATGAGCACAAACTTCTGAAAGGTAGTGTGTAGTACGGACGTATGTCGATTATTTCTTTGCACTACTCTCAGTCCTGGCTCACTTGAAGGAAAAGAGTAGCTTTGACATTTTGATAACTCCTTTTATGTCGTTTGAAGCAGATGATCTGCAGAAAGTTTGATTGAGAAAAAAAATAAATGTCAACCTTAATTATAAAAGGTGTAAACATATTTTTTTGATGCATGAGAACAGGCTCAAAAATTCCCCCAGTTTGAAATTCACTGTGGAAATGCCTCTGATAACTGTTACATAAATCCCCCTCGTCCATCCTGCTCTGCATTGGCCATTAAAATAGTCAATCGCTAAATTGTGAAGGTCTGTGCAATTTTAATTTGTAAATGTTTTGATTGGTTATTTAATAGATTTATTTGGACATCAACATTGATCAAGATTCTGATGAGCCTCCATACATCCATTCTTAAAGGGACTTAAAGTTAACTTAAAGTTTTGTTGTCATTTACTCATCCTCATATTGTTCCAAACCTGTATGAATTTCCTCCTCCTGTTGAACAGAAGAATGTTGATAACCAAATAGTTACTGGTAGCCATTGATTTCCATAGTATGAATCCAATGGATACCAGCAACTAATTTCACATTCTTCTTCTTCAAAAAAAAAATCTTCTTTTGTGTTCAACAGGTGAAAGAAACTCATAGAGGTTTGGAGGGTGAGCAAATGATGACAGAATTTTCATTTTGGGATGAACTCTCCCTTTAATGAAATGTAGGTCATAGATACAGTATGTTGTGGCTAGATGTCGAATCCTCAATGACCTCTGTGATTAGGTTAGGGAAGAGTTTACAATCTGTAGCGACTGTGCAACTGTACAGGTCATTTTATTTTATGTTTCAAACTCTGAAATCATGAGCGGAGTACAGTAAACTGAAAGATTATTAGGCTACACTATATTTGATATAGAATGATGCTTATTGTTTTTGTCCTTTAAGCTAATATAAAACATGTGTATCTCATTTAAAAAGCATTTTAATGCCAATTAACGTAGGCTTTTATACAATATCTAAACTGTGCCACGACTTCAGTGGTTCAGTGCTTGAATATTTGGTGTCGCCCCCTATCCCTCAATGTGTGTCAGTGAACCAGATGTGAAACAGGATGACTGACACACATCAGATTCAAATCACTATTTGGAACAACATCACAAACAACTTTAGTAGAGTTTTAAAAGTCACTAATCACTTATTTCTGCACACTTTCGTGTATATATTATGATTTATTACTTTATAACAATCAGAAATAACCAAAATAACAAACAACTTGGCCTTATCTTTAACTTTAAAAATAAAGATTAATGTAAAAGATCTGTCATTTTTTTTTAACTTTAACTCTTAATTTAATACACTACTACTACATGTTCACGACTGTTTTCTTGAAGCTCACAGAAATAGTGTTTAATTGCCATTAATTAGGCTACTGCTGCATTTAATAAACTTTGACTTAATAACTTTTGATTTCCATATCGTGCATTTCGTCTACCATACGATCAGAAGACATTAATGCTTTCTTTTATTTCCTTTACCCCCTAGAAGTTATTCATCCGACTTACCCTGGAACTTTGCACACGTTCCTACCCTTTGGATTGAGTTCTTGACTGAAAACAGGGCACAGGCATAGAAGCAAAAGCAGTAAAACCGCTAAAGTGCCCTTTAGATCCATGGTAGAAGAAACAGCATCTCTCCATGCGCCTCTTCTGCTCAGCATTCCTTTTCTTTACAATCTCTAGAAGTTCAGACGGGTTATTCTGTATCTCCTACGTCGCAAAACCGTCGACTTAAATCGGTTGGAAGTTAATTTATCCGCATCAATCGTTTATCCACTCTCTTTCAGACTCCAAAGGCTGAGGCAGAGAAGAGAAAAGAGGAGGAGAGGGCGCACAGAAGTTATAAAGCCCAGCTGTTATTCCCTCCGTCCAGCCCCAGTTCCTGAGGAGAACTTCTGCTTTTATTATGCGCTCCAAACACTGGTGGATGTAACTGGTGCATTGCTGGACACTTCTGACACCCTGATATCCCCAGTTTTCCGCTGTTATTTCCCAAAATGCAGATTTCCAGAGAGGATATGCTGCTTCAGAATGTGTTAAGAAAAAAAGTTCTGCAAAACTTTATGCGCGTCCATTTTGAAAAACAAAAGGGAACTTTAAAACGGCTCGTGCTCTCTTTTCAGAAGGGAAATTCCTAATTAGTGATCCTATCACCGGCTCTGGCTCTTGGGGATTCGGTGCGCCTGCTCTCTTTGGCGTGCAGCGGTTTCCTAAATTCTGACCGAAACCACCCGAGCAGCTCCTCATCGAGTGGGTGTGACTATAGTAGGCCTATATGCTTAGGTCTTAACCGTGGACCCATCCAGCCCCCCTTACTAACCCCGTCAACATGCCCGCGCGCAAACGCATGTACGCTACTGCGGTAAAGTTAGTTTGTCATTCATTAGACATTCGGGTTTTTTGCCATTTGCAGCTTTTATGTTTTGAGCCCAAACTAACTCAGATAGACATAAATATGTGCCCTTTATGTTGCACAAGGCTTAATTTCTAGGAATTAAAAAAAGAATTAACCTTTTAAATTAATTAAACAATTTAACGACGTGACATTATAATATAAAACCAATACTAAAATGTTCGGGAAAACATACCTGTTATCGCACAAAGCTCCGTTTTTGGAATTACAATTTTATGTTTTTTATAATAATTTTACAACTTTTAATGTATGCAATAATATAAATCCGTTAAACGACAACACCATTTGATCTAAAGGTATCAAACCAACTGTAAAATATTCAGAATATTATGCCCTATAATGCACAAGGCTTGGTTTTCCAGATTATGCCTTTATTGTTTTTTATATACAGTACTGAATCCATATTTGTCATGTTTATTATACTGTACCCACTTAAATGAATTAAACTCGGACACAGTTTGAGATAAATGTATCAAACCAACTGTAACACATTCAGAATAGTATGCCCTATAATGCACAAGGCTTGGTTTTCCAGATTATGCCTTTACTGTTTTTGTGTATAGTACTGAAACCATATTTTTCTTATGTTTTATATTGTAACGGGGCTGACGAGACGTGAGACGTGTGGATCCATTTGCAAGCTTTTATTTCAGAGATGTGGTCATAACAGACAGGGTCGAACAACGGCAAACAGGTATGTGGCGGGCAAAACACAAGAATAGTCTTAGGGCTAGCGTAGGTCAACGATCGGCATACAGAATCACAGGGGCGAGACGAGAGGGATAAATCCAGGGAAACAGGCAAGGATCAGAAACTGAGAAAACAGGCAAGGCAAAACAAGGAAACACAGAGACTCGGTACAGGCTAAGCAATACTCGGCCGAGAATGGTAGTTTGAGTGAGTGTTATATAGTGAGTGAGTGATATGAAACAGCTGTGCAATCAGTACTATGTGCAATCAGTGAAACAGCTGTGTGCAATCAGTGCAATGAATGATGGGATATGTAGTCAGGGGCGATATGCAACAGTTTGTGTTGTGCGAGAGTCAATGTAATGAAAGGGTGACCTCTGGTGGTGATTGAACGGAAGTCCATGGACAGGATTCGTGACATATATACTGTACCCACTTAAATTAATTAAACTCTGACAACGTTTGAGATAAAGGTATCAAACCAACTGTAAAATATTCCGAATATTATTCCCTATAATGCACAAGTCTTGGTTTTCCAGATTATGCCTTTACTGTTTTTATATACAGTACTGAATCCATATTTGTCATGTTTATTATACTGTACCCACTTAAATGAATTAAACTCTGACACAGTTTGAGGTAAAGGTATCAAGCGAACTGCAGAAATCTCTAAATATTATTCCCCATAATGCACAAGGCTTGGTTTGTCAGATTATGCCTTTATTGTTTTTATATACAGTACTGAAACCATATTTTTTCATATGTTTTATATACTGTACCCACTTAAATTAATTAAACTCTGACACCGTTTCAGATAAAGCTATCAAATCAACTGTAAAATATTCAGAATATTATTCCCTATAATGCACAGGGCTAATTTATCAAATTATGCCATTAGTATTTGTGTATATTGAAAGCATATGAAAAGTAGAAATGTAAACTGATCATTTGTATCACGCTCCCATGTTTAGGTAAAGCACTTTCACTTTAATGGCAATCAATGTTATTTTCTTTGTGAAATGGCTGAATATAAATGTATAATCTCAGCGAAAAAAAGGTACAACGCTGTCACTTTGGATGTACCCTAAGGTACAAAAGTAAAAACATTTTGTTTGCTTTTTTACATTAACTTTTGCATATTAGTACCTTAAAGGTACATATTAATATTCATATATTGTTATACATTGTTATGTATGTGTGTATACATGTATAGAAGCACCCTTTTAATCTAATACAGCCATGAGTCTTTTTGGGAAAGATGCAACAAGTTTTTCACACCTGGATTTGGGGATCCTCTGCCATTCCTCCTTGCAGATCCTCTCCAGTTCTGTCAGGTTGGATGGTAAACGTTAGTGGACAGCCATTTTTAGGTCTCTCCAGAGATGCTCAATTGGGTTTAAGTCAGGGCTCCGGCTGGGCCATTCAAGAACAGTCACAGAATTGTTGTGAAGCCACTCCTTCTCTGAATACTTTCCGTACCCACTGTATATACTTATTATAGTACAGACTAACGTACATTGCAGACTAACTTTGCATTAAAAAATGTAAAGCGTTTGCACACCGTTTAATAGTTTGAATAGTTTTCTTTTTTTATTTATTTTGAAAGAAATTAATACTTTTATTCAGCAAGGATGCATTCATTTGGTCAAATGTGACAGAAATGTTTTGTTATGATGTAGAAGTCTTTTCTATTTCAAAATAAATAAGAAATGTTTATTGAGCACCAAAATCAGCATGTTAGAATGATTTCTGAAGGCTCATGTAACATAAAATTAAACATGACCATCACAGGAACACATTAAAATATACATTTTAAACTATGTTTTATATAGAATTTAAACTATATTTTGAAGTATATTAAAATGGAAAACAAAATTCTACACAGTTTGTGTATGGGTATAATTATAATGCTAAAAAAAAATTAATTTAAAGCATCAACTGAACTGTTTTGTGGACAATTGTGTCCTGTTTTAATAACAAATCACAAAGGCCATCAATAATGTGGACATACTGAACTCAAATGCCATATTTCCATGTTATCCTCTAGTGGCCCCAAACTCTAAGGCACCTAAACCACACTTAAAAATGTATGCATGTCATTGCATTAAATAACAAGTGGCATTTTTAGGCAAAACAATTAACAAGCACAATAAATCATTCATATATTCATAATTTCATATGTGTTGATTGCTTATACCTAAAAGAATATGCATGCATTGACAAGACTATTTCTGTCTCCTACAGATAATGGATCTCAGCAGAAAGTTGTTGGGACAGAAGATGTTTGAGCAGTTTATGAAGAGGACATTCTACGGTCAGTTTGTGGCAGGGGAGGACCATCAGTCCATCAGGCCTGTAGTGCAGAAGAACCAAGCGTATGGAGTGTGAGCTGTGCTGGATTATAGCGTAGAAGATGATCTCTCACAGGAAGAGGCTGAGAGGAAAGAGATGGGGTAAGTGCTCTCTTCTGCTCCCTCCATCCACAAACTACCGTGTTTAAGCTGCTTCAATTGATTTATAGGTACCAAGGTGACTGGTAAGATTTGTGAGCAACTTAACATAATACAATGTCTATTGTCTAGATACGAGAATGTTAATCAAGACATTCAGCTTAAGATTTATTTTATGATAGATAGATAGATAGATAGATAGATAGATAGATAGATAGATAGATAGATAGATAGATAGATAGATAGATAGATAGATAGATAGATAGATCTTACTTTATTCATCAAGGATGCATTAATTTTGTCAAAAGTGACAAAAATCTTTTTTAACAATGTATTTATATTTATATTTATATGGATATTTCAATCAGCTTAAGATTTATTTTATGATAGATAGATAGATAGATAGATAGATAGATAGATAGATAGATAGATAGATAGATAGATAGATAGATAGATAGATAGATAGATAGATCTTACTTTATTCATCAAGGATGCATTAATTTTGTCAAAAGTGACAAAAATCTTTTTTAACAATGTATTTATATTTATATTTATATGGATATTTCAAATGCAGTTCTTTTGTCCTTGCTATTCATCAAAGAAATAATAAATGTTCCTTGAGCATCAAATCAGCATTTTAGGCTGATTTCTGAAGAATCATGTGACAGAAAATTCAACTTTGCCACCATAGGAATAAATTACATTTTAAAATATACATTTTAAATATATATATTTTTCTTAAAATGGAAAACAGTTATAAATATTTCACAATATTTCTAAATATTCAATTTTTTTATGTATTTCACAATATAAAAATTATATATATATAGTTATTCACCATCTGTAGTGCTTTAAAAACTGCAAGAAATACACTCTCTATTGATAGGCAAATTTGACTCAAGACATTCAGCTGAACATTTAACGAGTCTAAAGTCATTTATTTGCAGACTACATGAGCCAGACCTGACCAATTAAGGGCCAAATAAATAAATCAGTGTTATAGATCACACCAAGTATAAGAACAGAATGTAAATGAGCACAATTATTTTGTTTTGCTCCATAGAGCTATAGAGCTTAATTTGCTTAATTTAAAGCAACTAATTAAGAACTTTTGCTCTCCTAATATCAACCTGCTGTTTTGGGCAATTAGTTTAGTTGAATCCTTAAGTCAGTGTTTTGAAAATGTTCTCCCTTTCGTACCCTCCTATTTTGCTTGGCAGCATGATTCCAAAATCTTTGGGTCTGAATCAGTCTTCAAGACCTGCTTTGCATCACACATAACTACTTTTCGGTAGAGGGCCTAGAGGTTAATGGCCGTGCTGTGATTTGTGCTCATACAGAGAGCCTACAGAAATAGACTGAGATTTGATCTGCTGTCACGGATGTAAACAAAGAAACTATATCCTATTGGTTGTTTCAGTCAAGGACCATTGTTTCTGATTGGCTTATGTTGAGGGTATCAACACGCTCACTGTTTAGGAATTTCATCTTGTGGTACACAGACAGATATAGAGCTGTTCTTTATTTCCACAAGCAAAAGTTATCTAGTAATTTGTGCTGTGTTGTGATATCAGTGGGGTGATTTTTACTATTGCACATATTTAGGGTTAGTGAATTGAACAAATCCCCCATTTTGGGAATTAATTATTGCGTAGAGGGGGTGTCTGAAGACCCTAAAAGAAAGAAATACTAGACTTTTTGTTATTGGTCAACATGGAGCATGGGGATCATCCCAAATATATTTGGTAGTGAGTGTATATATATATGTATATATATATATATATATATATATATATATATATATATATTCATTATCTATACATATATAC